AAATTCAATTATATTGTTTGCTCAATTGAAGAGTCAAAGGACACTGATCGCTTATCAATTGATGAACTGCAAAGTTCCTTAATTGTTCACGAGTAGAAGTTCCATAGGCACAAAGGAAAAGAGCAGGCATTGAAGGTAACTCATGAAGAAAGTACATGGGGAAGAGGTCGTGGTCGCGGATTCTTTCGAGGAAGAGGTAGAGGCAGAGGACGCCAATCCTTTAACAAAGCTACTGTAGAATGCTACAAGTGTCACAAACTTGGACATTTTCAATATGAATGCCCAAGTTGGGACAAAGAGGCCAATTATGCTGAGGTTGGAGAAGAAGAAGCGATGTTGTTAATGTCCTATGTTGAAACAAATGAAGCAAAAAAGGAGGATGTTTGGTTTTTAGATTTGGGCTGTAGTAACCATATGTGTGGAGACAAAGCTCTCTTCTGCGACTTTACTGAAAGCTTCAGGCAAATGGTGAAGCTGGGAAATAACTCAAAAATGACAGTAATGGGGAAGGGTAATATAAAACTGAAAATGAATGGACTCAATCATATAGTCACTAAGGTATTTTATGTGCCTGAACTGAAGAACAATTTACTGAGCATTGGGCAGCTGCAGGGGAAAGGTTTAGCAATTCTTATTCAACACGGCAAGTGTAAAGCCTATCATCCTAAGAAGGGCTTGATCATTCAAGCAGAGATGTCTGCCAATAGAATGTTTACCTTGTTGGCTGCGTCGCGACCAAAGAAACCAGCTTGCTTTCACACAGCCATACAAGACTTATCACATCTCTGGCACTACCGATATGGACACTTGAGTCATAAAGGATTGAGGACTCTTCAAAACAAGAAGATGGTGAATGGACTACCACAATTCGAGGCCTCAAAAACTATGTGCATTGATTGCATGGTTGGAAAGCAGCATAGAGATCCAATTCCAAAGAAGAGCACTTGGAGAGCATCTTCAAAACTTCAACTCATCCATGCTGACATATGTGGCCTTATCACACTAATCTCAAATAGCAAAAAGAGGTACCTAATTAGCTTCATTGATGATTTTAGTCGAAAGGTATGGATTTACTTCTTGGTCAAAAAATCTGAAGCTTTAGTTATCTTTAAACAATATAAAAGTTGTGTTGAGAAGGAAACAGGTTCATATATTATGTGTTTGCATACTGATCGAGGGGGTGAGTTCACCTCACAGGAGTTTGATGAATTTTGTAAAGAAAATGGCATCAAGAGGCAATTGACAACAGCTTACACTCTGCAACAGAATGGAGTTGCAGAGAGGAAGAACCGGACCATCATGAACATGGTTTGAAGTATGCTTTCGGAGAAGAAGATTCCAAAGACTTTTTGGCCAGAAGCTGTGAATTGGACAGTGCATATTCTAAATCGAAGTCCTACTCTAGCAGCGAAGAACATAACTCCGGAAGAAGCTCGGAGTGGAGTCAAGCCATCGGTTGAACATTTTCGAGTGTTTGGCTATATCTCACATGTTCATGTACCTGATGTCAAGAGAACCAAGTTGGAAGACAAAAGTTTCACTTGTGTGTTGTTGGGAGTTAGTGAAGAATCTAAAGCTTATAGGCTCTATGATCCAATAGCCAAGAAGATTGTAATTAGCAGGGATGTAGTTTTCRAAGAAGAAAAATCTTGGGATTGGGATAAGAGCTATGAAGAACAGGTGGTAGTTGTGTTGGAATGGGGAGACAATGAGGAAAATGCTGCTACAAATAATGAAGATGAGGCCGAGATTGAAGATGGAAGTAGTGCAGAAGAGGTTGCAGCTGATTCTCCGCATCTGGTAGAAGAAGAGAGTTCACCTAGTTCCATTGAAGGGAGAGTTAGGAGGCCACCTGTTTGGATGAGAGATTATGAAATGGGTGAGGGTCTGTCTGAAGAAGAAGATGAGACCAATTTAGCATTGTTTGCATCTGCAGATCCTCTTTATTTTGAAGAGGCTGTGAAAAGTGCAAAGTGGAGAGCTGCTATGGATTCTAAAATAAAATCCATAGAAAAGAATGATACTTGGGTGCTAACCGACTTACCTGCAGGTGCAAAGAAGATTGGTGTCAAGTGGATTTACAAAACAAAGCTTAATGAACATGGAAATGTAGACAAGTACAAAGCACGCCTTGTAGCAAAAGGCTATACGCAACAACATGGAGTTGATTACATAGAGGTATTTGCACCAGTGGCAAGGATGGATACAATTCGAATAATTATTGCTCTTGTAGCTCAAAAGAGTTGGACGATTTACCAACTTGATGTGAAATCAACCTTTCTCCATGGAGAACTAAGTGAAGAGGTGTTTGTTGAGCAACCAAGAGGCTATGAGCAGAAGGACAATCCACACAAGRTATACAAACTGAAGAAAGCCTTATACGGACTCAAACAAGCTCCACGAGCTTGGTTTAATCGTATAGAAGCACACCTTGTGAATGAAGGCTTTGAGAGGTGCCATAGTGAGAATACCTTGTTCGTCAAAACAAGCAAAGGAGGTAAAATTTTAATTGTGAGTTTGTATGTTGATGACCTCATTTTTACTAGAAATGATGAATCAATGTTTTATGAGTTCAAGAGCTCTATGATGCGTGAATTCGATATGACTAATTTGGGAAAGATGAGGTATTTTCTTGGAGTTGAAGTATTGCAAAAGACTGATGGCATTTATATCAGACAAAAGAAATATGCTTTAGATGTGCTGAAAAGATTTGGGATGGAGGAAAGCAATTTTGTCCATAATCCGATTGTTCCAGGTTTTAAAGTCTTCAAAGACGAAAGTGGAGTCAAAGTTGATATAACATTCTTCAAGCAAGTAGTAGGGAGTCTCATGTATCTAACATCAACTCGACCTGACCTGATGTTTGTAGTAAGTTTAATTAGTAGATACATGGGGCAGCCAACTGAGCTTCACTTACAGGCTGCAAAGAGGGTGTTAAGATATTTGAAAGGCACAACAAATCTTGGGATCTTCTACAAGAAGGGAGGGAATGATAAACTGGTTGCTTTTACTGATAGTGACTATGCCGGTGATTTGGAGGATAGGAAAAGCACATCGGGGTATGTATTCATGTTGAGTTCTAGAGTTATGTCTTAGGCCTCAAAAAAACAGCCTATTGTTTCACTCTCCACAACTGAAACTGAGTTCATAGCCGCAACATCCTGTACATGTCAAGCTGTTTGGATGAGGAGAATCTTGGAAAAACTCAGTCATACACAAGGTAATTGTACTACTGTGTTTTGTGACAATAGCTCAACAATTAAATTATCAAAGAATCCAGTAATGCATGGACGAAGCAAACACATAGATGTTCGCTTTCATTTTCTGTGTGATCTTACTAAAGAAGGAGTAGTGGAGTTAGTTCATTATGGCACACAAGATCAGATTGCAGACATGATGACTAAGCCTCTCAAGCTTGACACGTTTTTGAAGCTGAGGAAGCTCATGGGTGTTTGTGAAGTTCCAGATAGCAATTAGTTTAAGGGAGGGTGTCAAGGTTTAAATTTCATTATTGTTTAGATTCGTTCTGTTTAATAAATCACTATTAAGTAGGTAGTTTCCAACTTTGACTCTTTCTCTGTTCTTTATCCATTAGTGTAAAACATCGACTGTTTTTTCTCTCAATTAGTTATTGTAAAGGCTATTTATTAGCCAAAGTTGTTGATCAATAAAGTTGAATCATTCCAGTTTGTTTTTAAGCTTGTTCGATTCAAGTTCTGACTCACAACACGCCCATGGGTATAGACTGTAAACCAAACCATGTAAATCTATGTATTCCTTGCACTTGTTTCTCTTTTATCCCTACTTTTACTTTGTTTGGTGCTATTGGAATCTATTTTCTCGAGTTTTTCCRCAACATAATTGATCACATTGGGAAAGATCTCTACTTAAATTCATTCTCAATCGAACTATATCTATAAAATGACCCATACAATTAATATCAAAATCAACTGTATTTCGAAATTCTAAGCTTTTCTCATTACATCGAGGTCATCATCATCTAAGCCTTTGTTCCAATTATACGGAGTCCATGGGCTTAGGGCTACATTCATGGTTCATACGGTCATACCCCCCTCTCTCAACTTCGATCTCCCAAACTAATTTAATCTCTATACCCGCTCGACTCGACTACCAGAAAAAGAAGAATGCATACTCAGTTGGATTCACCTAAATGCGCACTTCATTCGCCTTTTTGCTTGTTAAGTGAATTATATAGGCATCCACTCAAGAAGCTTTCTTTTAGAAATTTGTACTCTTTTCTAAAGTTGGATCTTTCTTACACTCTTACTCATCTTTCCACATCAAATAACAACTTTTTTTTTGGTTTGTTAAAATGAAAATAAAAAGAAAGAAAAAGGCAAATTAGGAAAAGAAAAAGAAGGGAACAGATGCTTTCTGTAACTTTCACGCCACTGCAAGCAAGCTCAAGGGAATTAACCAACTCATCGCCCAAATCATACCTGCAAAATTTATTTTAAAAAAAAATCTCATACGGAACTAAATGAATCAATAATATTTAGTGCAATATATTAAACGATGATAATTAAAAATGAAAAACGTACTGTTTAATTTGAGGAGTGACGCCGAGTTCCAAAGTTGCAGCTGGTTGTAGCAGTCAGTGGTGGTGTTAACGCCGTTCTTACATACACAGACGAAGTTATTACGCGGAGGGGCATACCCGCAAACCCCATCGGTGTTCTGGCAGGCCTCACAGCTGGTGACGTAGTTGTTATTATCGAAGGCCACTTGGTTACTATACGTCAACGCCACCCCGTATTCCCACCGGCTGGGGTCCGTCGGGAAGTCCCCCAGCGACACGACCGACGCATAGGTGGCGCATTTCAAGGCATGGAGGTCGAGGTCACCCTTGGTGTCAAGATTGGCGGGTGAGTAGACGCAGCAAGTGTTGGTAGGTGAGAAGAGAGACAGACCCAGAGAGAGCAAAGCGGGGCAGGTGTGCATGGAAGCACAGAGGTGAGCGTTGGTGGAGTCGCAGATGGGTATGCCTTTGACGGTGAGGGATGAAGTTGGAGGTGGACAGGACAAGAGGATGAAGACGGAGGGGCCGAGCTGGAAGGGGCTGGGCCAGTCGAGTCCCAAGTTTGGGGAGGAATGCATGGAGGAGCAGGTGGACATTCGAGGTGGGGTGATGATTATGGTGGAGGTGGCGTAGGATATGGATGTGATGGGGTAAGATCCTGTGTGGGTTGTGAAGAGGAGCTGGTCTCCGCCTGGTGAGCAGGATATGTGGGGGTAAAACCGAGGGGAGCCGCAGCCATAGCCTGTCCCAAGAGGGTAATTCACCGGAAGGGAACCACATTTGTTCTGGCAGGAAGGCTGTAAGGCTAAAACGCCCGGCCGGGAGCTGAAGAGTAGTAGTGTGATGATGATCAGCAGAAGAAGAAGATGGATTGTGTTTGTGGGAAAAACAGGATGACCTTCTTCCATGCCTCTCTCTCTCTCTCTCTCTCTCTCTCGCTCGCTCGCTGTGGATGTTGATCACTTATTCATTTGGGATTAATTGGCAAATGGTGGGACCAACCTGAATATATTCCATGCACATGCAGTGGACATAGACCATGGGTTTTCTGTAGGCCCAACTGGCCCCATATAGGACGTGCACTGAMTGAAGCCGATCTCGAGTGTTACTGCACTTGTCTGATAATAACTAAGCTTGAGTCACTGGTTTTGGTTATGGTCGGCAACCAGCTAGGGTTGAGTTATAGGAAAAGAAGATGCCCTTTGGATGATCAGGTTTGGCTCGGCTTTCCTGATCTTTTCCACTGGCGCCCATCAAAAAGAAAAACAAGATCCTTTTCATTAGCGTCACAGGTGTGGCCCAACTTGAAATTAAAGTTAAAAAAAAGAACCTGTACAATGCTTTCTCAGTGATGGCAGTCTTACAATATGAACTTATGATGCATAGTTTTCCGAGGGACTAAAGTATTCCTCTCTCATGGATGTGTTTGTGTGTATGTTTCAACTACTCTACCTCTCAAAGTCTCACTCCTTTTGCTTGTTTTTTTTGGAAGGTAAACAAAATATATTAAAGCAAAGAAATATGTACCAACTGCTCGACTCTCGGATCCCTTCACGATAGTTATTAATAATGTAGTGGAWGAGTTTTTGCCTGAAGGAAATCTTGTGAGTAGGAATATTAAAAGTTCCATTTACATGTTTGAACAAAACATGAGAATTTAACTGGAAATTAAAGTCTTGGTCTTTGCAAAAGCCAGTGAGGAGAGTCCTTGTGTAGAGCCTGTATAACTTGAAGATTGTTCGAATAAATGCAATTTTTTTTTGCCTCCAATCTTATAATTCTAAAAAGACCTACAAGATTGCAAAGAGTTCTGCTTGATCAATGGCAGAAGGGTGAGATGTTCTCCCTCCAATAATTTTTAAATATTGAAGATTTGTATGTAAAATCACAATACCAAAGGGAAATGAAGAATAGAAATTTAGAATGCATCAGTGAAAATGATTAATTCAGTAGTGCATTTGATAGATTTAACATATTACTGTGAGAGGGAGAATGCAACAAATTTTCCGGTATAGGATTCTGTGAGAAAATTTGAAAAATTTTGTTGACCATATATAAAGAGAGAATTTGCAAGGGAAGAATTTGTTTGTTTCAAAAATCTTTCCATTCCATATGCACTATGTCCTTTTCAAAACTGAGAGTCTGAGGAACATTTTATATTTGTTCAGTTCATGATAACCCCATTCAAAACCCATCAGAATCCCGGCCGTCTATCAAAAGGATTACTCAAATGATAACTAAACCAGAGCTCTCTCCCTTCGCTTGCTATAAGTAAGGCTAGAGAGAAGCAATGAAGGAAATTCAAGGGTCTCATCATTTTAAGGACGTTCAATATTGTTATTAATTCACCTGAATTGCTACTTAGCTCAAAGTATCATTTACTATGCATTCCTTCCATGTATTAGAAAATAAAACCTATTCAAGACCTCACTTTAACAATTTAAGTTTCTAGGTTGAATGATTCATTGATACCTTTGTAGTGTTCATTATTTTCATTACATGACTGACTGTATTAATAGCATTGTTTCAGTACCTCCTATAAAGGCGGTGCCTCTCCTCTACTTGACTTCAGCCCAGGTGCCTATTCACCTGAATTGCCTTGTTAACTGTTAAACCAAATTAAACCAATCATGTACAAAGTTAGAAAATTATATATCTTAAACCCCCCTTTGACTTCTAAGTTCTAACAACGTCTAATACTTCCCTTGTCTTACAGGGGAGGTGTTTTGGGATTATCTAAAAATCAGGGAAGTTTTATATATTGTTGGTAAAGTAAAGGAGAAGGTTTCAGATAATCTCCTTAAAAAGTTTGTGTAACCTCCCCCACATTTAACTGAGGGTGACTCATACCTGTGATCATTCCAAATAACGTCAGTAACATATGGTTAGAACTTTGAAAGTAATTCAGCAATAATCACGCTGTCAACAACACAAGCTAGCGATTGATTAGCCAATAATCGAAGACAAATGGCAATAACAAGGAACGCCGACATCTCGGTCAAGACAAAAGTCACAAATTAAGAGAAGGTAACTAGGTTACTGACCCGATAGCTAACCACTTTCGAGAAAGTAAAGAGAGATGTATAGATCAACAAGGAACTAGTCTCCGCATTAAAGTTTTCTTTGGATATTATTTARGAAAAATTTCACTTATTATCTTAAACTTTGGGGGTAGTGTTACATCATTTAAACTTTTAAAAAGTGTTAAGTTGGTCCTTGCCATTAATYGATCGTCAATTATCTGTTGAAAATGTCAAAACTATTATTCAAAAGAATACACTGTTCATTGTCTTCTACCTTAAGACTGAATTGGTTGAGGTATTTGAGATTCTAGACTAATAAAGTCATTGTCTTCTACCTTTAGATCTGAAATACATTCTTGTCTAGTTATTTCTTTGCTTTCAGTTATTGTTTCCCTCTATCATATTTCATGTTTTTCTTTTCTTTTGTTTTTTTCTGAAAATAACTGGTTCAATCTCAAAGTAGAAGGCAATGAACAGTGTCTTTTTTTGAAGGATAGTTTTGGCATTTTCAATGGATAACCAATAATCGATTAACGGCATGGACCAACTTGACACTTTTTGAAAGTTTAAGTACTGCAGTTATACGTTTCCCTATCATTTATCTGAGGTGATTAAATGATACCCATCTCCGAAGTGGGCAAATAACTTTTTCACTCAAAAGGAAAAAGTTTACAAAACATAATGGGACAATTTTGCCTATTCTGATATTGGTTTTTTTATGGATAAAATGTCATTATAACCAACTAGTGGCTATAGATAGCCCAATTGACGCACTGGCGGTGGTGCAGTTTCAAATCCTAAGAAAATAATTATTGACTTGATGTTGTACTATTCACTTAAAAGAGTAACGATCCCTATAAAAATATCAGCAAGTGATTAATATAAAAAAACCATTATATAATTTACCTAAGAATCATATTTGTGAACTTATGTAATATTCTGAAAAGAAAGGAAACCTTAAAGTTACATGTCATTCAGTTCAGGATAATGAAGAACACTTGGGTAGATCATTTACCTGAATGTTGCCTGCTGATTTATACAGAGAACGAATTTGAGAATACGAGGCAAAGTTCTAGAACTTGTGCTTTCCATGGGATGGTCTTATCTTTATGTTAGGATAAGCTGTCAAATTCGGCATCGTTACATGTTGTTCATCGTGTCCATCCTATAAATATTCTAGCTTGAGGACTTGACCTGATTGGATATTATAACCTCAGCTCAGCCTTTACCCCAACTCTTTTGGGTCGGCCATACAAATCTTCCCGTGCCACTTTACAGTATCATAAGCCAGCTTTTCCATTAGATTGTAAATTGTCAGATCATTCCTTACAACTTCAGGCCATGCCTTCCTTGGTCTTCCACTTGTTGCTAGTGGAATATGAAAACCACTTCACTGGAAAATTTTCACCTCCTATTACCTGTTATCTCAGTTTAATTATATATTTAGAACAATCTGATAATCTGAGCAATTCCATCACTGTAACAATGCGTTTGACTAGAATATCCTGTCTGGATCACCCAACACTGAATTATCATCGCAGATATGTATGCAGTCAAAGCCTCTTTGCTGTTTTGTGGTTGTCTGGACTCTGGATTCTGGGAACTCTAAAAGCATTGAAGAAAATATGTGGCATTACTCGAGGCGCTTGGGTTATGTGAAACTGATTTTTTTCTTGATAGCAATTCGGTTCTTGGAAGTTGGAACTATCAATCAAGCACTGGAGACTCATCCAGTAAAGGTTAGAGAGTTTTCTTTCCTAAAAGTTGAAGTAATTTCAGTTTGCAAGAAATTCATTTCATGGGCTGTAATTTCTATCTCAGCCTTTCCGAGCTTTGTTAGATAATCAATTTGGATAAATTTAATGGCCCATAAGGCAATACTTGGTTCTATCTTCTATGAGATTGCAAACAGAATTAGAACTTTAGAAGACTCTGTTTCTGAGAAAGCGAGAAGACATATCACAAGTAAGCTGCAGAAAGCTAGAAACATGAATTCACAATTTGCACTTTTCACATTTGAGTTTTGTCATTTGTGTTGAGGAAAAATCTATGTTACCAGACAAACATAACACCGGAAGATCTTTGAGCAATCAAAAATCCACCGTGAAGTTTGATTACCATACCTTTTGATTGGTTGCAAGTTTTTCCGGTATCAAAGTCGAATTATGTTAAGTTTCTTCTAACGTAAGACGATGCCTCCTCGTAGGAGGCAAAAGCCAACAATGTTTCAATAAAAAATTAAAAATAGCAGAACATTAGTAGGCAAAGAAGACGAGAAATTGCATGGATCCCTGCCAATAAGGTCTTTAAAACAAAAGGAGGTTCAATCAGATAATTACAAGAACTTTGAGAGTTCTGCTGGTTTGTTATGCCATGATTGCATTTGCTTTCAAAATGAAACTCGGACATTCATGGTGATCTAATTCGACCAAAGTATATAATTTTTGCACTTATTCCGTTGGTTCAGAATAAATTTTAACTAGCTTAGCAAATTGCATATAGTAGGTCTCACAATGGATATAGCACCGAATTGAACGAAATAGCAGAACAGGATTCATGCCAACCCCATATGGTTGGGACAAGGCTCAGATATTCATATGATTTGGTAATTGGCTATCGGCTAATTGGGTAGCTAAGCTAAGAGGACGGATGATGTAAAGCATAAAAACAATCTAGACCAAGCAACAGAATATTCAATATAACCTATTCATAAGMACAATTTTCATGATATCATGATATAAACAGATGCGAGGAAAGGTCACTACAATGGTCAAATGGAAGAACCTTCATCTTCAACAAAGATGTACGGCTGAACACCCAACCCCAATTCAAGCCCCTCGATCTTCATCTTCAAACCAGATGAGCTTCACAACCACTGCAGACGAGCAGAGAAATACAATAGTAGAAATGTCAACTATGCCATGGACAAGTAAGGCACGCTCAACACCTTTCATTTCCCGAATATGTCCTGCTAGAGCTTGCATCACCAATGGAAACAGAGGCCAATGACTTGGATGCCCATGCCCTGGCACTCATTGCTCCTTCCTGCAAATTGCTCCTCTTACAAGGCACCTTCAGCACATTGAATACTTGAATTGCTTGATTGAGGTACGTCAAGGGATACTTCCATAAGCTCACCAAGCTTGCATTTTGAATGTGCCTTCTCCAAGCACACCGAACACATGCCAGCAGTGTTGGGAGAAAGAAGTGAAGTAACCTCAGAAGTACAAATGTGGTAGCCAATGCCAAATATGTCTCCTGCCTAAGCAAATTTTCCGGGGATCTTGCCCATGAGAATGGGCAGTTTTCCTTTTCAGAGTCCTCCAGATGTGCAAGATTTGATGGGTTTCCCATTTTCTCCAAGGACATTCTATCCAGTGATGCTGGCTTAATGCCTAGATCCAAGCGCATGCAAAAAGAGGAAAAAAAAGACCTTGAGAAAAAAGTTTTAGTTGTAACAATTTCTCAACAAGATCACCTACAGGTACTGATCAAATCATACATATAAGATCAAATAGAGAACAGTACATGCAATGCAAAGCAGTGAATATTCTTAAGAATCTTAACCTAAGTCATTGATAAAAGCACCTGTGGATGTCTTGGTCACTTTTCCACAAGATGAGAAGTCAACATAGTGGCCCCAGATAACCTATTAATGAAAATAAATGGAAGTGGCCCAAGACTAGTGTACAGTAAAAGTAATATCACAGACAGAGGCTCTGCTCTAAATGAATAATTATAACACTTACGTCTGATCATTAAATTTCAAAGAACTAGATGAAATAAATTACTATATCAATCTCTAGAATACAAAGCTTATTTGCAATAACTGGTTCATGTAAAGAGAGTGACTTTTAAAATAACTGCAACTTTTTTGATATTTGCTAACCTTGTTGATGAATTTAAAAATAAAAGAGCAAACTATATGCATACATAGATATCAAATCACGAAAACCAGTAAACAAAAAGAGCCAAGGGTTGGTCTAACCTGTAACATCAATGTAGAAAGCAACAAGAGAATTGATAGTCCGGGAACCATGATACCGCACCCGCATGGTGGAATTCAGGAGGAAGAGGGTCGGGAATCCATGAACTCCATACCTTGAGAGTATGCTGCAACAATATTTTTAATGATCAATATGAATATTTCTGCAAGTAAAACACTAAAATCCATAGATGAGAGAGAGAGAGAGAGAGAGAGAGAGAGAGAGAGAGAGAGAACTCTTTCTGACAAACCTAGGCCTGATTGAAGATTCTTCAACAGCAAAATGGGGAATGGAAGGATACATGGAAGACAGAATTGTGAAGGTAGGTCTGCAAGCTCTAGAAAATGGGCACCAAGATGCATAGAAGAACAAAGATACATATTCATTACTGTTCTTGTGAACCAGATTCAGTGCTCTCTGTAATGAAACCTCATCCCCCTTCACAAGAGAAAATGAACATTACAGTTAGAAAACTGCCAAGTTAATGTGGCAGATAAATTAAGACATATTCCTAAATATTCCCAAAATGAGGAGTTCTCATCACCTTTCCTTGTAGATGAACACAACCAGACATGTAAACATGCAAGAAACATAATAAGAGGAATTTCACAAAATGCAGTGCACTCTATAACTACAATTTTACAAATAACTTTTTTGATAAATTATAATTTTACGAATAATTCCACTAACCTGCTAATTTTTTTGGAAGATTTTTTGGTTGCAAGGTTTAAATTTTTAAATTTTGGCCATTATGTATGTTATAATTATAATTGAATATCTCAGCAAGTGCCTGCATAGGGAAAAGGTAGCACACTGAATTGGGACAAGTTCCCTTTATAGATAAAGGGAAAAGGTAGCACACTGGATTGTTAGAATCTTCCAAAATTACCAAAAAAAAAAAAAAAGTCAACCTATCTCCCATTTGGAGGCACGAAGTGTCGATCCAAATCATCAACTAAATGGGGGACGTTCTGGAGCCTGGATTGTGCTCACTCCCCCATTCTACATGAGTTCTAAACCCACCATGTATCAGAAATTTAACCAAGTAATAGCTAATTAGCATTCCAACATTTGATCTTGAATTTTATATATAGGGGTTCAACCATGATGACTAATGCCAGAAAGACATGATACTAAAAAACCTTATAACCAATCAACCAGAATCACGAAAGTGATAACTAATCAGGTGAGTTATCATCAGCATTCACAGGAGGTTCTGATTGGTCAAAGCCTTTCCCATATCATGTCTTTCCAGCATCATAGATTTTTCCTATATATTTTGGATAAGTAGCAAGAGATTTTGTAATGAAATTCACTAAACATATTCAGGAGGAAAACCTATGTTGTTTGTTGATGGCATTGTTTTAATTGATGAAACTAATGAAGAATTAAGTGCAAAATTAAGTTTATGGACAAAAACCTTAATATAATAGTTTTTAAGATAAATAGGACTAAAACAAAATATATGATATGTAATTTTAATTATAATAGGAATGCTAATAAGGGTATAATCTTGAATTGGTGACCAAGAGATACTCAATGTGACCTTTTCCAGTAACAAGGGAGAGATTGAGGATGATGCCACACATAGAATTAGAGTAAATTGAGCAAAAGAGAGGGGTGCATCTGGGATCTTATGTGATGGGTGAATACCATAGTTGTTAAGGTGCTTAGGCAATTCTAGGCAGTAGTCGGGCGCTTAGTCACCTAGTTGCCTTGGCAATAAAATTTTCATAAATAGAAAACTAAGTTTTCTAGTTTTATATACAATTCAGCATGCATATTAATTGGAAAAGTAGCAATTTTCTCTATTAGTAATATTAAATTTCCTCTAAAAACATGGAAAATCAACATGTTTAGGACAATATTATTTCAATAGTTTCAAAAATGATATTAACATAATAAATATTTAAGCAATTCATATCAAATTAGCAACTAAAGAAGGTCATAGTTTCATATGATAAAACTTAAGATAGAGAGTAAGTAAAAGAGAAAAAGTACAAGGGCGGAGCTGCTGTTTATTTTATATAAGAGAGAGGGAGAGAGTAGGAGAAAAAAAAGTTATTTATAATTTCTATTCTCTCTCTCTCTCTCTCTAACTTCAAAAATCAAAACAAAGTATAAATGGTACATATAGTATATAATAGAATGTAGTAACATACAGATTAATAAGATGCAACAATACCAATAGTATTTTAATAAGACACCCACCTTGTCATTCTAATTGCCTAGGCAGGTGCCCTATTGCCTAGATAGGCATCTAGCCACCTAGATAGGTGCCAAATTGCTATAAACAAGGTGTTTAGGCAATTGCCCAGCCAAGGGCACCTAGTTGCTTGGTCGACACCTAGGCAAGCACCTAGGCGATGCCTTGACAACTATGGTGAATGCCACTTAATTAAAGGAAAACTCTAAACAGTTGTAAGGCCAGATATGTTGTATGGAGCAAAGTGTTGGGCAGTCAAGAAACAACATGTCCAAAAAATCAGTAAGGCAGAAACATGTATGCTAAGATGGATGAGTGGGAAAATTAGAAAGGATAGGGATAGAAATGAAGTCATTCATTGAAACCTAGGAGTAGCTCCAATAGGTGACAATGAGAGAAAGAAGACTAAGATGGTTTGATCATGTGCATAGAAGACATTTGCTAGCACCCATAAGAAGAATTGACCAGTTGCAAGTTGAAAGGGCTAGAAGAGGTAGGGTAGACCAAAAAGGACATGGGTCAAAAAAGTAAGAAATGATTTAAGCACTAATAATTTAACAATGCATGTGGCATTAAATAGGACAGAATGGTGAAACAGGATTCATGTAGCCAACCCCATATAGTTGGGATAAGGCTTGGATGATGATGACGAATCCTCTAGAACTCTAACTAAGACATAGAAGATTCCCAGGTCATTCAGTTTCAGACTTCTGACTAAAACAATCATATAGCAGACCCTACAGATAAATATGATAAATTAGTATACCATAGCTAAATCAAGAAAGTAACACTGCCAATGTGAGCTTTGTCTTACACCACTGGTCCCAAACTTAGATAAAGGACAAGGGTTGTGTCAGGTTGGTAGTCAGTATAAAAACTTTTGCCAAACTCTTACGGTCATGGATCCTAAATTGTCTTTTCTGTGCTCATGCTAGGGCATTCCATGTACATGCTATGCCTTAACCCAAGTGCAGTGAGAAATGATCAAAAATGGATATGACATTAAACAGAATAGAATGGCAAATCCAGATTCATGTAGCCAACCCCATATGGTTAAGGCAAGGCTTAGATGATGATGATGACCTAAATCGTGAAAGTAAATGATGAAATTTTGAAACAATTCCCTTTTTTTGTGGGTCTGTAAAACAATTCCTTGAGAAAGACTATATGATCATTCTTTATGTAAATGACCAATCATTTTTTTATGGAACTTGACATTATTCAAGAAAAAAGAATAAAAGAAAATGTGGAGATAGTCTGTCCCTCCCATATAAATTGCCTCCTCATCACAATGAACTCCACCACCATCCTATACATAAACTGTTCTTGTCCTAAGCTGTTCTTATCCTAAATACTCATTTTTTTTATGGAACTCCACCATTTTTTTTATGGAACTTGACATTATTCAAGAAAAAAGAATAAAAGAAAATGTGGAGATAGTCTGTCCCTCCCATATAAATTGCCTCCTCATCACAATGAATTCCTTGGGTTTGGCTGTCATATACATAAACTGTTCTTGTCCTAAATACTCATAGTTTGCCATTTTCCTTGCCTTCAAACAATGTTAGGCCCAAGTCCCCTATCCTCTGAAGCTTTGTTTATTTCAATGCACAAGGTCCATAGAATCTTTCATTCTGAAATATTTCAGTAATATTTCTGCCCCTTTTATGGTTTACAATAGGAATAGGTGTAGCATGGTAATTGGTGAATGGAGGTTTATTACAAAGGAGAAAAATCTAACACTTTCAAGATTAATACATCATCTAGGCCTTGTCCCAACTATATGGGGTCGGCTATATAAGTCATGTTTCACCATTCTATTCTGCTCAGTGCCACATCCATCCTTAAATTAAATTATAGGCACTTAAAACATTTCTTATTAGTTCCACCCAAGTCCTTTTCCATGTGCCTCCTAGCTCTTCTAGCCCACCTTCAACTTGCAACGGATCACTTTTCCTAACAGGTGCTGCAGGTGGTCTTCTATACATGTAAAACTACAGTAAAACCATGGTTGTCAAGGCATCACCTAGGCAGGCGAAGGCAACTAGGCACCCTTCAATACATGTAACAGTATTTTTTTATGTGAATCATTCAGCTTCAGTATTTTCCAAATAGTTTGTTTATAATTAATAGTAGATGAGATTAAATCATTCCTATCGCTCTCTAAGATGAAATTGTTTGCAAAATCCAGGTATCCTGGCCGGATTCAACAATGGTCCTGATATAACCATATCTTTAGTTACCCACATATCACAGATACCATTTTCCAAATCATCGCATTCAAGAAACGTTGGTCCAGTTCTCAGCCAGAAAAGGGATTTATAAGCAAGCAAACCGAATTTTGCTTTCTGTTCCAAATCCTAACTTTCAGAACCAGAAAAATCACAACCAACGACAGCAAAAAGGGAAAAATCAGGGAATTGTAAAGTTTCAATCAACCGCAGAAGTTTTGCATTTCTTTTCAGAATGAAATATTTCCAAGACCAAAAGACCTTGTAAACCACGAGCAATTCTGGAAATGACTACTAAGAACATAAAAAAAGAAAAATAAATTTCGTAAATACCTCCGTAACACCGACTAGATCTCCATCAGAATCGCCATTCGACAGCCAATTGGAATGTGCACATAAATCTGGAGAGCGCAAGATCGAATCCGCCACGGACGGCACGGGACAGACCTCAGACGACGAAACTCTAACGGGCTCAGAGCAGGTTAGCCTCCCGAATAGCAGTAAAAGGACGAACCCTGTATGCCAAACCCTCGTCGCCATGGATTGTGGAGGCACCAACAAATTGGGGAATTGAGGGAGGAGAGCGAAAGAAACTCTAAAGGAATGTTAGAAGAAGAGGAGGATGGAGAAAAGGAAGTGAAAAGCGAAGAAGGGTAAGAGGAGAGGGGAGATAGAGAGGACAGCGCATTTTAGCGTTAAAGCCGGGGGTGTTCATTATTATGAGGGTTGATGAGGACGAGGGAGATGAGGGAGGATCATGGCTGCATGCTGCTGGCTAATTTTACTGTAGATATACATACGGCACCTGGGAGGGAAATTTTGGTGGGAGAGAATAGAGAGAGAGGCTGCACCTGCACCAGAACCAGAAGAAGAAGAAAATGGCTGAAACGGTGGATTCGGTTCCAGACTTCAGAGGCTGTGATCCTGCATCCTGCCTCCCTGTGGCTGATTAACGATAAGCTGGAACGGTGGGGCGTACGGTAGCCTTCTCTTTAATACGGTACGGGCTACCATACTTGGCTGTAGACCTGTTCATGGGCCGGGTGGTCCGACGGGCCGGCCCGGCCCCATACGGGCTTGAACACGCAAAAGAGCCCGCGGGCTTAACCCCGGGCCAAAAACCCAGCCCAAAATAAATTCGAGTCGGGCTCAGGATTTGTCAAAATAGCCCGGCCCGACCTATAGATTAGAGTTAGGAAACCCTAGTCGAACCCCTTTTCTCTTTCACCTCTTTCCAGTCGAGCCTCTCTTCTCTTTAGTCTTCACATCCTCCYCAGTCCTCAGTCCTCACACTCTGAGGCAGCCACACAACCGGTGAGGCGGCGAACATCCATCGTTCCTCTCTCTCTCTCTCTCATACGCAAACTGATCACTATTGAAATCGCAGCTTACAAATCTTAGACACCGCAAACTCAGTTTACAGTCACCGACGAGGTGGCGATGAGTTCTCTCTCTCTCTCTCTCTGACGCAAACTGATCACTATTGAAATCGCAGCTTACAGTCATCGCGAACTTGGGCTTGGGCTTCGGGCTTTTTATTAGGGCCGGGCTCGGGCCCAAGTTGTAGGCTCATTGGTCGGGCCGGGCTCGGGATCGGGCCTAACAAATTTTCATTCATGAAGAATAAAAGTTCAGCCTGGCCCATAAACAGGTCTACTTGGTTGTTAGACGAATGTCACCATCTATAAATTGAGGATGCTTGACGTCCTGTGCCGTTCGCTACCTAAAGCTTTTAAACACGAGGCGAATTTTTAAAGTTTGGTTGTGTTTGGTTTGAAGGAAAAGGAAGGGAAAGATAAGAAAATCTTTACAAACCTCATATAAATTTGAGAAAAGTACGGAGACACAATGCAGAATTCTGAATTCCAGCCCCCCCCCCTACAACTAGCTCTGTCCCCCTATAAACCACATCCTGCTCGTGAATTTAGCATCAATTCACGGTCAGGATGCATTCTCCCTGTACTTTGAGCCTAGTAAATTCTGAGCTGGGCTGATTTGTATTTCTCCCTATAAATTTTCCTGTTTTTCCTTTCCTTTCTATACCTTTTCCTTCAAACCAAACATTGCCTAAAAGGTTTGAACCTCATTCTCTTGGGTACATGTTGCTTATATTCCGAAGGACGAAGGTAGGGATATGCTACCAATAGAAAAGAATGAGAGCACTACCAACCCTATCCCAATATGCTACTGCCCCTTACATTGGAAGCATCTCTTCTGAGAGATGTTCCTCATGTATGGCTGTAATGGTTGGTCGTTGGTTGGGACGTAATTGGCACCGGGTGTTGGAAATTCAGAGCACGAATAAATACATACGAATGGAAACCAACTCCATATTACCGCTATTTGGTTTCTTTAAATTCCATGAAGTTTACATAATGGGGCGCCCATAATGCCCCACAAACCACAATACATCCCAACCTTGTATTGGAAATATATCGGGGGGCTGTTCATATAATTTTATGAACCGATCAAATCGAATCAACTCGACTCAAAATAATGGTTTAGAAAAGAGCTGGTTGGTTTCGATTTCATAAATACTAAAAACCGACAAATTGGTTCAGTTGTGGATATATTTTTATGTAAACCGAGAACTACTTATTGTCACCTCAACTAACACATCTTACATCTCCCATCAAAACGAAAATCCAAAAAAAATCACAATTAAAAAAGCGATGGAGTTCCCAAATCTCAATTAAATAAATTATTTAGGCTATGTGGTTGCAATGCAAATTTATGACTAGCGGAGTGCCCCCTACGAATACAACACATTTAATAATTTTATTTATATACACAAATTTAATGTTAACTATTTGAATAAATGAAGCAAATTAATTTAGTGTTATTTAATTTAATTAATTAATTATGGTAATTCAACTAATTATTAATTCAGTTAATATAATTAAATACTTAAATTACATTTTTACTACTCAAATTTTAAAACAAATAAGAATCATATATATATATGCTTTTTATAAAAAATAATTAATATAACAAATTTACAAAAATGCAATATAAATAATACATTTCTAATTCGTGACTAGGTG